TTCGTGTAAAGTAATTTACACTAATTTAGCATACACCCGAAAGTTTTACATAAAAAATATATATGAATATAATTTGAATGAAAATTATAAGTATTATTTTTAATACCCACTCAACGGTCAGTTTTTCTTCAAAATTCCTCCACGATGGCATCTCTCTCTTTAGGCAGATAGCCCTTGCATGCGTTACTTAATTTTAAAAGGTACATGTTACAATAATATATGGATGTCAAAAAAATTGGTTTTATTTAAAACATTTTGACGTTTGGAAAATAAAATAAAAGTAGCGAATACTCTATCAAGGGTATCGAAAGACGTATACAATTTTAAATGTACCGTAAGGTATTTTTCATTCTTTAAGCATAACATTTTTCTTAAAATCTATATTTATGTAGTGCAACAGCTTAGAATTTTATAAAACAAATTCATAATCAAAAGCGCTGTTGTTAGTTATCGAAAAATAACGAAGATGTGATTTTTGCGTAAATGTCACTAAACTATACAAATTGCTATTATCCATCACACTACGAATGTTTCTTTCATGCGAAAGTGTCCCTTTTTCGATTTCTATGGAACTGTCGTGTGTCGAAATACTATCAGAATCTTGTCAAGCGAGCTTCTGAATGTAAACAAAGAACACCCCATCTGGTGACCCAAGCTTCAAAGCAGTGCTTCACTTTTAGCGCGGGTTGGCCCCTCCTCCCTTTCCTACCTCCATGATGCGAACACATTTAATCGATCTGTATATATATAAAATGCCATTAAATTGTCGGATGTTGATGGATTTTCTGAAATAACAACGCAAAGCAGTGACGATTTAAAATATTTTTAAGAGTAAGTCTCCATTAAAAAATAAATACTATGAAAGACAATTAAACCAACACATCAAAAAGACACGAAATAAGCACTAAATGATCTTTTCTGCGGAAGATCATTTAGCTCCAAGTCATTAAGCAATTGATAGTTCAAGCACTTTTATGGAAGAAATCAGAAAATAGATGACAGGCAAAAAGGTCAGAAGAAATTTCGCTGCAGTAGCCAACAGTGAAATGGCATTAAAACTCTCTCCAACCTCCTTCCACACAATATTAATTAACTAAGCATGTTAAAGATATACTGCACCATAAAACGCCGTTCCAAAAAATCATCATTACCCACAATGAGAAATTTCACCGACCAGATTTAATGATCGTTTCGATTATAAAGGTATAAACGGGCAATCAAAGCTAGGAACAAGAAATTAATAAAGCAGAAATCATCGCTGGCGATTATCATCCAAAAAATAACGAATAAATGACATTTAATTGTGCAACATATTTTTCAATCAGGATGGTATATTAAAATCAATTATGCAAATGTAATTACGAACGGTTCATTCGCATTGTTTTATTATTATATTTTTTTTTCCTTCTAATTTTATGTTTTGTTATCATACCACGCCAAATGACTCATTAAAAAATATTCCGTTGGGATTACATGGATTTTTCGTCATTGTTTTTTCTGAACACATTTATTTTTCGACTGGAATTAATGAGATTAATAGTCGAATGGGATGGGTGGGTTTTTTGTCTCTCTGTCGGATTTGTTTTCTTCGTTTTCTTGTTTTGTTTGGTTTTGACCACAGCTCATGGCTGTAAATAAAAGTTACGCGCTTTGCCAACAAAAAGATAATTTGCTTGCAATGAATTAATATCTCAACATAATAAAAAAGCACTTAACCAAAAAATTTATCAAGCACAGCGGTAATTCTCATTAAATGATATTTCGTTTTTTTTCCACCAACCTGCATTTGGAATCTCAAACAAAGAGTTAAGATAACTCTCATCATACATAGTCCAGAAGTTAATGTAAAAAATCTGATGTGTACATCACATGAATTCCATATATGGAACATTAAATTATACGCATTTTTTCCCGCATTTCAATTAAGCTTATTTCCTCGAATTTCATCAGAGATATAGTTCTCATATAATTAATTCAGTTCTCACTTCGAGGCAAGACATGAAAACACAAAATATATTCATTAAAAATTATAAGATATAGAAAAACATAAAACACCAAATACAATTGAAAACCATTAAAAGAACCTTTTTACAATTAAAAATACAGTTTCTACGCAAAACAAGCAATTCGGCCAGCGCGCAAGAAGGCAAATGTTTCCGTGGACAAAACTGAAAATTTCCTTTTGGTCCCACTCGGTTCTACAAATATTGCATGCAGGTTAATTAAAGGCATAAAACCCTTAGCCGGAAGACAAGAACAACATAATTCAATCATTTTTAAAGCAAAAAATGCACAATTTACTAACATAGAATAAAAAAAATTACCTCACCCAGCCGAGTAACAGAGTGGACATGTATACATATGTTACCATGAAAGACCGAAATTGGAGAAAGTCGACTTTCACCGGAGAATGTCAACATTCACCAAATACGTCGGTGAAAGATCGAATATTGAATTAAATTCTTGTACATTCGGACCCTCACCGGTGTATGTCAACAATCACAGATATGCTATGGTGTAGGTCGAAAAGAGAGGAGTATATGTACACGCTGTCATTGCAAAAGGAAGTGTTCCACAAATAAATGCAGTTGTAAAAGCAAGGGCCTCTTGTGCAATTCAAAGTGTCATAATAGTTTAAGTCGTTGCAATAAATAAGATTTGAATCACATAATTTGGTAAGTTTATGACTTCTATTATTTTCCTTTCTCATTTTGAATATACTATGTGTTTTAAGTTCTTATGTTCGTAAGTTCTTATTTTAAGTGCGTTTTTTCGTGACTGAATTGACGGAGAACAAAATATAATATTCTTTCTTATATGTTCAACATTCACCATTAGTACATGGTGAATGTCGACATTGACCGGTGTAAGTCAGAAATAAGGGTATTTGGAAAATATTTCGGACATACACCAAGCGACTATGTGAATGTTGACATTCACCGGTGAAAGTCGATATTCTCCAGATTTCGGTGTTTCACATTAACATATATATTACATATAAGTACAAAAAGAAACAAATAAGAGGAAATATATGCAAGGTTCATGTAAAATTCATACATTAATAAAGCTGGCGAACAAATTTCAATATTTTTGGTTTCTAAGGTTGCAAACCAATGTAAATCTTCATCTTTATTTTTGCGAATGTGAAACAAAAGTGCGAAAGACAACTAATGACTACACCCCCCGATGACACAAGGTCAGTCTTTCTTACGATATAAAATTCCCTCTTTGCGACGAAGAGCGAGTTATCATGTGACCCCCAATACCCTGCGGCACGTAATTAACATCCCTTCTGGACAATTCCATGTGTTTTGGCAAAATGCCAAGCAAGGCTGCATTTGCAACGGTCAAACTATACATGTGCATGTGAGCGTGTGTCGATCTTCATCATCAGAAAAAATCTCTACTGCCCACTATGAAAGTGCAAATCGCCCACTTGGCCGGTATATTATTATTATATTACATTACATTTATTACATACTAGCAGCGAAGCTGCCAGCCTTTGTCTGACTTTTAAATGTACCGGAAAAATGGCTGAAGGGAAAACCAAACGTTAAATTTAAAAGCTGCGTAGAATTTTACCCTGCAGAACAACTTCATTAAAAAAAAGTTATTACGTATAACAAAATTACAATGAAATAAGCAATACCCCTTAATACAAATATTAATTATCCTAACAAATAAATTAACCAACTTCCCTTTGCAAAATCTTAAGAACTCAAATGAAGAAAAAAAATCATGCAAAACTTTTCAATATCTTGCAAACAGTAAAATAAGCAAAAAATAACATGAAAGAAACTCAAAAAAAAAAAAAAAAAAAAAAAAAATTCCGCGCATAATTTTACTCTGCAGGGCAACTTTATCAAAAAAATATCAATAAAAATGTATTATATATATATATATAAGAATGACAATGAAATATGCCAATCTCTTAAAAACAGTGACATAGAAATACGATGAAAAATTGTTGTCAAAACCGTATTTCTAAAAGAATGAAACAGTTCAAAATGATACGATTTCATCAAAAATCTATCAACAACAATAAGAAAGGGAAATTGTTGCCAAAATCACATTTTTAAAGATGTAAGATGTGAGAAGTGTACTCGGAAGCTTCATTAAAAATTTTTTTAAAAATACAAAATATTATCATTTTTCAAAAATTCTTTTTGTAAAAGCAGTCGCAAGGACGAAAGTTTAACGTGTCCAAAAATGAAAGAAAAATAAACTGTACATTTTTAAAAATAAACTTTTATAGAAAAAATCCCGTTGAAAAGGTGTTAGCTCGCTTTGTTAAATAAATTCGTATTTAATCGATTTATAGAAACACCAAATTTATTTTAAGTTCGTAAAATAGCTAAGTGGCTACGTTTCATGACGATGTGAAAATGGAGTGTGTAGAGTAAAATCTCGCTTTCCCACAGCCCATTAGATCTCAAAATGACGCGATTTCGTCACAAAACATAGAATTAAAAAAAATTCGAATTCGAATTTCTAAAAAATCGCTTCGAGGTGCGCTGGCTCTTGTCTATATGCACCTATGTACCAAATTTCGAAACCGTGGGTCTATTAGCTTACGCGCAGCGCGAACGGAAGACACACAGACTCTTTGTTTTGTTATATCTAGAGATTCATTAATTACGAGAATTTTATTTCAGAAACTAGCTCAAACGGAAACTAATAATTAGAAAAAAACAAAGGTGATCGTTTAAAAATGAAACACCCTTTATAAAGAGTCCAAATCCAGAGTTTAATACTGAGAATTTTGATAAAAAAAAATTTTACTTTAAAAAGCATACAGCATAGCGTGGTTAAATCTATAATTTATTAAAACGAAAAACATTATCCATAATGTATTTTCTTTACAGGATACGTTCGCTCACAGTTAGATAATTTTTTTTAGGCTGCCATTCTATCGCTTCGCCTTTTTCGTATCACGCTCATGTCTAGGTATCTTGAACAGCCTAAAAGCACATTTTTATTTCAATGTAAATGATTCTTACCTATAACAGGTGCTGGTTCTGGGGACTGCGAGGTTTTCTCTTCTCCCTGTTTGGGGCTTGTGCCCCCTACCGGTTCGGGAAAGATGACCGCCGTGTCGCTCCGTTGCAAGTATTCTTGGATCTTCTCGTCCTCTGGATTTTTTTTGCTGGAAGGTGGCACGCCATTGATGCGTGGGGGACGGTCTTCGAGGGAGGTACCGTTTGTGAGAGGTCCCTGGTCTTCCGATTGGGGCCCATCGGAAGGCAGGAGGGGCCCCTTGGCCGGTGAGGAGGCGCTGAGGGGCGGCGGCGAAAGGGACGGTCGCATTCCTACGTGCTGGTCAGTATCTGCATCTTCTGGCATATTTTCCAAGTCGACTGAAACGAAATTTCAAATTTTACTTTTTTCTTCAAAGAAAGTATAAAAAAAATTAATAACAAACTAAATTCTCATACAAAAAAAAAATTAAGGGGTAGGGGAATCTGAAAGGGTTCACATTTCAACAGTCGTTCAAAAAAAATGTGTTAAGGTTTCTTTACATGCTCACTGAGCTAGCAGTCTACCAGGCTGCTCATGTACAAAACAGTATTTATATGCATTGAAAACATTATAATCGTAAAGTCATCGCCTTATATACAATAAACACTACACATAGCTTACAAACAATCAAGCTTTACTCAGAGCTATTATAAATAATTCAACAGATTTCAGAACAGTGTACCTTTTAAAGTATTAAGCATACAACTGTAATTCAGACATCATAATAAGTGAGAAATCAGCTTAATTTTCTTAGAAATACTTTAAGTATGGCTAGCCGGTCACTCAGCACGCATTCCAGTTGTAGTTGAGTTTGTCCATACCTTTTACAGTACTCCACTGAAGCACGGCATTAACGCATTCTTTGAGTACTGATGCATTTTGTTGTTGAGAAAGGGCGTAAGAAACACAGTAAAGCAAGTCCATAACGTACCCCAAAGAAAGAAACCATATGGCATTAGAACAGGAAGAATGGTATGAAACATACACATCAAACTCGATTACTTCTTGGATACATATCATGTAATAAGCTATCCACAGAACAGCTGTACACAGAAGAGCCAAAACATTATGACCACCTACTCAAAAACGCGTTGCGCGACCTATGACCTGCACCTCACATTGGCATGCATGCCACAAGTTCTCGGTAGATGACTGGAGACAGGTTGTACCAAATGCTTAAGCAGCGGCCACGCAAATTCAAGATATTCCAACATGGTGGTGCTTGAGCTCTGAGCAGCCGCTACTTGACATTCCAAATGTGCTCTATCAGGTTAAGATCTGGAAAATTAGGTAACCAGGACATTAATTGGAATTCAACATTATGCTCCTCAAACCACACCAACAGAATTCTAGTCTTGTGACATGAAGCGTCGTCCTGATTCGACGAAGCATTGTCGAAGATTCCAGTTCCAGTTGGAAAGACAGACGCCATGCAACTGATTCGTAATTATCACTGTGGGCGTAGATGATGATGGCGCTTGGTCAACAGAGGCACATGAGTAGGACGTCTGATGCACAGTCCCATATCCAACAGTTTCCACTGAACTGTGTGTTCCGAAACGCTTGAACTTGGACCTGCACTGTATTGGACAGTCAGCTGTCTGGTGCCAATTTTGCTGTACCAAGCAGGGCATCCTCAGACGTTCTTTTTCTTTGATCGACGTCCTATCCTCTGTTTCGAAGTTCAACACCTTGCCACCGTCATTTATCCACTTTGCATATAAACTAACAGCGGCAGATCGTGAACAACTTACTAGTCGTGCAGTTTTGGAGACACTCGTTCCAAGTCTTCGAGGCCATTACAATCTTCCGTCCATCAAATTCCCTTAGATTAGCAGCTTTTTTTTACGATTCGCAAAAGTAAGTGCAAGAATGATTTCTTACGTTCTCCAGCAGCAGTTAACACCTTAACTGCCGTGTGACCTATGACTGGATTATGGATAAGTTTGTTTTGGGTGCCTCGCGATCCATCGGTGGATCACAGCAATGTTCACGCTTGTGGCCGCATGCCCATTTGGTGCGTCAACCTTTCTGCAGATTTATATGGGAACTTTAGCTTCTTCGGCATCCAAATCACTCTGCTCAAAATGGTCCTTATGCGTAACCGGCAGTCATCGTGTCAAATACCATTCCCACTTAATCACGTGCCGTCCATGTCATCCAGATGAATTCATTGAAAAATGTGGGAATGGTCATAATGTTTTGGCTCATGAGTGTAAAGTGTGAGGAAATCCTGGTGAGTTTACGTTTTACTCCAAGTATCAATATTAATATAAGTAATAATATTTTTAAGAATAAATATCATGAATCGTTTAGAGTAGCTTTGTATTAAGTATTTAACGCTATTGTAATGTTTGATTAAACTAAGATTTAAAATTTTTCCTAAAATTACAGAAAAGGTCCTTCGATTTTTCTTTCTTAAATGTGCGCATACTTTTGTTGCGCAGTGCAGTATTTACAGTTAAAGAGGAGAAAAACAAAGACATTTTTACTGTCAGTTCTAAAGTACGTAAATATATTCTGGAAAACGTAAATATATTCTGGCCCAGCAAACGCATATTCGACAGCAATGCGGTTCACTGAAATGGAAGTTACTGATACCTTATGTTGCATGTATCCAAAACAGCAAAAATTATCCAAGCAAAAAGAAAAGTTCTGAGAGAGCAAGAGCGTGTAGTCTAAAATTTCGAAACATGTTAAAGTCAATAAAATTAAAAGAAAAAGGCGGAAAAAGTTCAACACAGTCCAGCAGATCAAGTGAAGATATCATGTTGACTTCTTACCAACCTTTTTAAATTCCAACCTTCCACAATAAGCTCCACCAAGTAAGAAATTAAGATCGCGTTATGAACGCTCCGTTACCTATTAATAAAGGAAGGGAAAAAAATAAAAAGAGGGTAAAATAAAGCGAGAGAAACTTCCCCCGAAAAGTTTTCCCTGATAAAAATCAATCACTCTTGAATAATAACAAAACTTTTACAAAGCAGAAACGTTTAGAACATCGACAACAGGTCTGCGAGCTGAAGAAACGCCTCCCAAGATGGAAAGTGGCGTATGTCCTGCTTCGCCAGATGGCGAGAGAAGAAATCCAGAAGAACTGAAGTGTAATTATTTCGGAAAGTTTAAGATTTAAGTTTAGAGATTAGAAGCTGATTTAAGAAATATATGCCAATATGACATGAGATCCAACAAATAAGGATTCCGAAAATGCAACTTGGAAGACCTTGCATTTTATAGCTTTGACACGGCTTAATCCTTTGACCAAAAATTTAAAAAACCCCGCCTTCTATCCAAGTGAGCCAAATATATCACAAATACGGTAAATTTAGCATTTCGGATTTTTCTGACGAACGGTTTTCAAGCCAAAGGCTGGGACATATATGTCCCAGCCGTTGTTAATGGTGGCATACATATGTCCCACACGTAGTGATCGACTTACTAGAAGTACATCCATTACTCTGGAAAATTTATTACATGAAATAGATTTTACATCGTATGGTACAGGGTAGAGCATTCTCTGCATAACCGAACATTACACATTGGGCAACTCATATTTGTTCTTTTCTCTATGTTCCTTTGTATACAACGAGCACAGCGGTATCTTGATTTTCCAACTATTGGAAGACGATAAGACGATCCTCAACATTCGGGAGATTCTCCTTTCTCTCCTTCTCTTGACTGAATTTTGATTTCTCTCCTTTTAACTCTTTCCGGCACGCTACCTTTTAAAGTCGGAGTTTTGATTAAAAAAAAAAAAAAAATCTGAAATTTTTCAGATTTTAAATTACGTCTAAAGGGGCGTTTTCTTAACGTTTTGAGTGTTACCTTTCTTTATTAAATATCATGTTCTTTGCACTTAAACCATAAAATTCAGTTCAAGAGCAATATCGCAAAATAATGTTAAATTAAGCATATCTTTAGAATTTCCGATATACACAGTCTCGCGAGCTGGAGATAAAAGTATTTTTTTATATATATAACGTTGCCATTTCTCGCTTTTAAAGCATTGAGTTTGTAAATCAAAAATTCGTTAAAGGTTTACAAAATATAAAATCTATAATAAAACAAATTCCAAATTTAGGATTTCAGATGCCCATATTCGCAGAAGGATTTCGTCATTCAAAATTCGATGGCTGTATGTACCATTGTTTTATCACAATGCGAGAAATAGACAATCATTTATGCAGATTTTTCATTATTTAATTTCTTCAAATATAATGCAGGACTCTAACATTTTGTGGCAACAGTTTGAAAAGTGAACCGACGTTTATGAGTCCGACGCAAAATGCCAAAACGAAAGCAATAGTCCCTTTGGACTAAAAAAAAAAAAAAAAAAAAAAGGTAGGTAGTCTAATTAGGTCTAGAGGAGTACACAAGTAAAATTTTGTGACGATAGCACTTATCGTTTTAATGCTGTGTGTGTGCCCAAAGTGGCACACTGATTGAACAGAGCTTCGAAAAGAGTGCTGAAACGAGCATTGTCGTCAATGAACTGACCGATGAGATGCGGAGAAACAAAGAATACAGGCTCTCAGTTGTCCTAGATTATCGGTGAGCCCCTTCTGGGCACACCTACGGTTCGCCGTTTGATTTTAGGCAAGACTTCAGGGTAAAAAATTAAAACTAATATAGAATAAGGAGATTAGCATACAGCCAAAATAATAACATAGAAATTTCTTTTCAAACAATTCTTTTTATACCCTAAAAATAATCTGGAAGATTTCTTTGAAAAATTAGGGTCTTAAAAATCTAAACATGGCTAAAATATATGGACTAGCTTGTGTTGAGCTGCCATCTACTATGAATAAAGAAGGTTCAGAGTAACCTATAGTAACCCTATAAATCCTTTTTCATTCAATTTTTCTGTGCGTACAGAAGGAAATTTTTAGGTGTGTCCAGACCGGACACACTGTGCCGCAAAGGGATAAACTTTTACTGAGGCATATATGCTCCGTTAGTAGTCAAAGGGCTACAGGATCAACAGCTTATAGCGCCGACATGGCGTGGAATGACATGGTACGAAATCAATATCGGTTAAAAAACAGAGAATTTAATTAAATTATCAGTTTTAAGATACAAGATCGACTCTCACGTAGGATCAAGACTGGGTTTCGAGTTGCTGCGGTGTCGATTCTATGAAATGTCGATCTTGTGCTACATTTCCATTGGGTAAACTACATCCTTTCCGCTAAATAGTCCCTAAGCTTATTGGATACGTTAGACACATTTAGAAACTAATTATTTTAGATTATTAAGGTATCAAGAGCTCTGAAAACAAAGTTTTCTCTCTAATGGATACGCTATTGGCCGATAATACATATTCGCTTTGAAATACATC